AGAGGTCCTCCTATAAGCCTTATAATACCTAATATATAGGGTAGTCTTAGATATATTATTTAATCTTAGCTTATATTATTAGTCACCATCCTTAGGGCCAAATAACGCCTATAAGTCTTAGGTGTCTAAGGTGTCTAAATTTATTATGCATTTACTTAATAAAGTCTATATAAAAAGAAACTAAGAGATATAGCACTTCACAGTCATCATAAATATACTTTAGCTTATTATTATTCTCTCTCACTAGGCGGAAGTCAGGAGCCATCTTTTTAATTATATATTAGAGACCCTAGTGCGTGGGTGCTTTATTTATTATTAAGTATCTTACTATACCTTTTAGCCACTCCTCCTCTAAGTGGCCTTAAAGTGCTAATAGGGAGGCTATAAATATTTATTGCCACTCTTATTAGACTATGTCTTCTATCTTATCCCTAGGCCTATCTTTAATAAAGTTAAGTTAGTAACTAATGGCGTTAGGGATAATTACTTTAGTCCCTTTCTAGTAGTAAATCTTTAGATTATATCTACTAAACTCATCAATCTATTATGCAAGTCTCTTAAAGTATGTCTTTATTATTAATAAATACTATAAGCTCTTATAATCTATAATAATAGTCATAATAGTGCTATTTTTAATATAGTAGTCCTAAGTTTATAGCGCCTCCTTTATTACTAGCAGCTCTTTCTTTTATATTAAGTAGTTTTACTTTATAGGAGATAACTTTTATCTATTAAATATAATAAGATAATTAGTACCATCTTCTGCCATCTATAGAAGAACTATACTAATAGCCTACTTAAAGGTATCTATTTTAATGCGGAACTCCTTCTTATAATCTAATAGATAAAGTATTAAGGTGGTTACTAGGGCTTCCTTTACTGCTTAAAAGGCAGCCTTATATGATGTAGTCTATATAATAGGTTAGAATTTCTTTATATATAATTTGGCGTTTAATTCCTTTAGCAGGTTATATAGGGGCGCAGTGATGTATATAAACCCTTATATAAATTATTAGTAGTAAGTAGCTAATCCTAGGAATTAGTGAACCTTATGGACGTTCTAGGGCCTTAGCTAGTTTAATACCGCTTTAACCTTCTTAGGCATAGGTGATATCTAGCCCCTTTTAATAATATGTTTATAGAACTCTAATTTCTCCACAGCAAATTCACATTTTGACGCTTTGGCGTATAGTTAATGTTCTTTTAGGGTAGTAAGGACCAGGTTAAGGTGTCAGTAGTGCTTATTAATATTCTTAGAGAAGATAAGGATATTATTAAGATATACTACTATAAAGTGGCTAATATACTTCCTTAAGATGTGATTCATTATCATCTAGAATATTACCAATGTATTGTAGAGACTAAATAGTATAGTTAAGAATTTAAATTTACTAAACACTATATTAAATGCTATTTTTTTAACTAAGTTGTCTCCCATCTATACCTGCTAGTATCTTAATAGAAGATTAATCTTTAATATTACCTGGCTCCCGCTTACTATATCCAGCAATTCCTAGATTTAGGGTAATAAGTAGCTATTCTTAACTATTAAATTATTTAGTGCTTAATAGTTAATATATATTCACCACTCTTCTATCACTTTTTAGATAAATACCACTAGAAAGCCCTAGGGACTAGTAAAGGGTTAAATAAGCCCCTTCTACTCTAGGTCCTCTAGTTATTAAATTAGCTCCTTAAGCTTTTCTTATAAGAGAGAGAAAGGGCTAATATTAATGGGCATGGCGTCGCCCATATTAATATTATATATAATATCTTATTTAGGCGGGAGGGCCGCTGTAAGTTCTTAGTAAAAGATATTATACTTCTAGAGGACTACCTCTATCCTAGGATTTATATATAGCTTATGCCCATCTAGGAGCTTAGTAGTTTATTAAAGAAAATAGAGAACACCTTTTAATTTCACCTTATATAGCACGCGTAGCGTACATTATACTAAGATTATATTAATATAGGGCGTGATCGCGACTTATTATTTAATATTTTTTAAGAGCATAGAGAACTGTTCGCCTCAGTGGTCCTAGAGAATTATCCTTAATTCTAACTATTTAATAATAGGGTTAGTAGCTTTTAGCCATATCTATCCTAAGATGATATTATATTTAAGGTTATTAATAACCTAGGTGGGGGTTATTCTCATCTATCTGCTGAGGCGTAGCGAGAGGTGTACTTAGTATATAGCTAGGATATAATCACTATTTAGCAGCATCATATCTAGCTGAGTGCCCTTATTAATCTATTAAGGTAAGGTATAGGTGAGTTTTTAAAGTACCCTACTACTTATAAAGTTGTTAGAGGCTCTACTATTAATTATATATTTAACCTTTAATTTCCCCTATTCTCTAGTATTAATCTCTCCTCTAAAGATTAGCAGCCCTCCGCCTAGCATATTTATTTATATTAGTATTATTTAAGTTATTAGTTTATACTTCCTTTTTTGTATTTTTTACTTTTTGTCTCCTTATAGGGGTGGTAATCCCTAGGGGTCCAGGACATTAGGGAGGTTAATGTTGGGGACTATAGAAGCCTTAAGTATTTATATCGCCAGCGCTTCTGGTTCTAGCGGTTAACTTTATTTCCCTCCCTTAGGGCCTTTATTAAGGGGGTTGTTATTAGGATTTTACTTAGTTAATAATCCTTTATATAATATTTAGGTTTCCTATATATAAAATAGAGTCCTCTTGCGCTGGCGATTGATCATTAAGGGTATAGTATATATCTATTTATAAAGGTAGGCCTCCTAGGTAGGGCATATAGTTACTCTAGGGTATTAATATCTATGGCATCTAGTGCTCTTATTAGCCTATAGACGTATTGCGCGGTGACAACCCCTTTCTTATAGAGGGCGAATTTTACAACAACCCTGGCTAAGGTAGTTAGTTTATTAGATTCGCGCGCCCATCACCCTTAGAGTTGTTTTTAGCTGCCCGTGATGAATCATTAAATAAGTATATTCTCTATTAGTGGGGGGTTGATCTAGTTTGCGACTTTCACCAGTTTATGGATATACGCCTAAATGGGTCGCTTTCCTTAGGTGAGACTCTTATACGCCTCCTAGCGGTGTTCCTTACTAAGGTGTTCAGTATAGTTATTAGTAATCCACTTTTTAAATTCTGCCATAGTTTTGATGGGGGCGCAGAGCTTATTATTAATAGAGCTCTATAAATACCTCTATTATTTATGTACCTTACTATTAAGTTTCTATTTCGCCACCAGGACCTTCTCTCTATTAGTAGTGAACTTCTTATATAAGACTTCTTTATTTTAAAAGTATTTATTTACTTGCTGCAGCCATTTTTGGGCGCCCTCATCTTAGTATTTACCTATATATTTAGGGATTTAGTTAAGTTCTAAGATCTTTTAGTAGGGGCGTCTACCTTAGTTATTAGGATTATTAGTTAACTCCTAATGGCTAGTTTCTTTAGCGGCTACTTAAATATTATTCTAGGGACCTAGCTACTTAGTGGTTACTTAGTAAAGGTTATTCTAGAGTTAAGCCACCTGCGCGCGGGCGGTCTTAAGTTCCTAGACTAGGTAGTTTACTTAGCCTCTTTTGCCTTAGAGCACTTACTCTAGGCATCTAAGAAGAGGGCAAATATTTATCTTATCTATCCTGGCAGTTATAATTACTAAGAGGATTTTAAATGCCTTAGGCGACAGGTGGTTCTATATATTACTAATAGAGTTTATTATTAACTTATAGTAGAAGATTAAGTCTTTTGTTCACTTAGTTTCTTTAGTAAAGATGCTTAATAATTCTTCTTTCTTTACTTAAGGGGTCTTTCATCCCTTTTATCCTGCTTTTAAATCCTATTAATCCTTAGATATTGTCCGCGGAGCGGCAGTCCGTCAGGGTCAGCATAGGGGCCAACCCCTAATATAATATACTATTAAATATAATATTTAAAAGCTAATAGTCTCTCCGAAATCTCTATTCTATTGCTACCATGAGTTAAAGGGAAGGTATCTATATACCTCCCCTTAGCTCATTAAAAGCTGAGCGACCCGATGGCGATAGAACTCTATAGAATTAATTAATCCCTAGTATAGAGCGAAAACTCTATATAACTGCTTCACCAGGGTTAAGAGATTTCGCGTCGTCGGTGAGCGGGCACCTTGGCGTTCCGCCGAGGTGATCCCGCTCATGGCCGCGCGGGAGTTCGCGATATCGCTCGCTCGCGATATCACACTAAGGTACTTACTTACTAATAATATAAGATCTCCTAACCTTAGTGGAGCAGTTATATAGAGTTTTTACTCTATATTAAGAATTAATTAATTCTATAGAGTTCTATTGTCACCGGGTCGCTCAGCTTTTAATAAGCTAAGGGGAGGTATATAGATACCTTCCCTCTGACCCATGGTAGCAATAGAACAGAGATTTTCAGAGAGACTGTTAGCTTTCGAATATCACAATATACTCTAAATAAAATGCTATCTTTAATTATTATAAATATATTAATAATATAAGCCCTATATATAAGACAGCGAGCGGCTCAACGGCGACCTTTAAGGGCTAGGGTAAGTATAATATATAGATCCTGGGCGTTAATAATAAGCTGTATAATATTATAGTTAAATATAAATTTAACCCTAATATATTATATAACATCTTTAAATCATTAGGTAATGAGAAGGTGATTAGATTATAAGTAGATGTAAGAAATGAGTATATATAATATAATATTGACGACTCTATTGTCGGCTATATTTATATATAGGGGATGTTATTATGGCTAGTTATATAGATAATAGTAATAGGATATAGCTTTAAAGCTATTAACATGTTTATTAAGCACTATTATCTAGGCTATTATAGTATTTAAAAGCTTCGCTCTATAGTCTATATACTTAGTGATATATTAAAGAATATAGAGTTTAATTATAATATGTGCTCTAGAGTAAAGGTAAAGTAGAAGGTATTATATAATATACCCCTATATTTGTAATGCGTCGGCGAGCTCATCTATATAGACCTATAACTTATAAAGCCAATAGGCCTGGGTGGCCTTAATTACTATTTAATGGTGATAGATGATAAGCATTGGATCCCTGATGTTTATCCCACTAAGATAAAGAATAAGGTGAGCACTAAGGTGATTAAGGTCTTTAAGATATTTAAGAATATTAAAGGCTCATATCCCATAAGAGTATATCTAGATGGCGGCCTAGAGTTTAAAGAATTTATTAAATAGGTAAAGGATTATATAATATTTAAAGTTACACCTCCTAGATCCCCTAAGCTAAATGGCGTGCTAGAGTAATAGGCTGGTTATCTTAATTAGATAGTATAAGTAATGATTATTAATATAAAATTACCTAAAGAACTATAGCTATACACCATAGAGTCTATGGCATATATCATTAAACGCCTAGTTTATAAAGGTTATAATAAATCCTTATTATAGATATATAAAGAGGAACTTAGCATAATAAACTCTACCACCTTAATAGCTTATATTTAATATTAAGGATGCCTGGCGTATAAGCATATCCTAAAGGAGGATTATATATAGGTGAAGAAAATGGGCCCATGAGCTGAATATAGTTGTCTTGTCAGCTATAATAGAGATAATAGGCATATTTATAAAATCTAGATTCTATTATCTAATAAGGTTAAAAGGTTAAGAGATGTTAGCTTTATAAAGTATAATAGCCCTAATTAACTTGACAACCTAATTGTCATGGCGACGGCGAGGTCGTTTATATGCCTTAGGCAGGTTGTGGTGAATAGGGCCGCTATTCCTGTTTTAGCTTAGTGCGGGAAAGGGGAGAGGGATATTAGACGCGCCTTATAACGCACCTCTCCCTCCTCTCCTCTTTCCCCTCCTTATTTAAATATTTTAGTATTAAAGCCACTAATTAATTATTTATTTACTTAGGGCCGTTATATAATATTTAAACTAACTAATCCTAATTCTTATATAATTAATAGCAGTTAAATAATACTCTAATCACCTAGTGATTCTATTATTATATTTAATTACTGGATTGTATTAATAATAAAAATATAGTGAGACTAAATAATAACCCCTAAGTGTCATCTAGATGTCATAAGACCCTTAATAGAACTAAGGATATAATAATAAAGGAATAGTTCTTTAGTCTTTATATAGACAATCTAGATATACTATAAGATATAATATTATATTTAGTAATTAAAAGTAACTAATAATTAGTAAATAAGAAGCTTTATGCTAAAGCTAAGGCCATATTAGCCTTAAAGAATAATAAATAGTTAAAAGAAACCTAGTTGTAACTAAAGAAAGTATAGGCTAGATTTATAATTATAGAGAATAAATATATAGAATTTATATTAGCTCTTATATATAGTGCTACTAATAATATTACCTTAGTTAATAGAACCCCTAAACTCTATAATTCCTATAGACTTAAACACTCTGCTAAACTACCTAACCCTCTAATACTAACTAATAATAAGGATCCTAGATTTAATAATTAGCTAATATTAATAAAGTAGAAGCTATATATTAATAAAGATTATTATAATACTAAAGAACTTTATATCACCTATATATTTAATTATATAGATAAAAAGGCCTATAAATATATAGCTTCTAGACTCTAGGACGACGCAAAGAACCCCTATAATATAACTAGTAATATCCTTAACTATCTAGAGACTATTTATAAGGATCTAAACTAGGTCACTAATACTAAAGTGTTATTTTATTATCTATTCTAGAAATAAGAGAAATTTTATAATTTTCTTTTTAACTTTATGCACCTGGCTATAGAGGTAAGAGTTAATAAGAATAATCTCTAAAATAAGCTCTATTATAAATTAAGTCACTATATATAAGAACTTACTATCCCTAAAATTAATAAAGATAGATCTTTTAAGAAGTTTACTAAATACTACTCTAAAATAATAAATTAATTAAAGGTTATAAATAATAATATAAATTATAGTAAAGATAAAAGAGGAGGAACTATACTTATTAGTTTAGATATAAATAATAAAATATTAACCCTTACTATTAAATATATTATCTTATAGAAGCTAAATGCTTATAACTCTTCTTATCTCACTATTAATCTAGCTATTAGGAAGTAGAGAGAGGACTATAATACTTATTTTATATATAGCTTAATAAAATATAAAGCTAGGGCTTACCCTAAATAGAAGACTACTAACTTAAAGCTAGCTAAGCTTAAGGAACTAGAGGCTAAAGAGGAATCTATAGAGCTAATAAAAGACTTAGTCTAAAAAAAGTCTCCTCCCTAGGTAAAGTAGAAGTAAATATAAGAGAATTAGACCTATTTAAACTAATTAGTAAATAACCCTTTACTATAACTAGTTAATTATTATATAATAGATATAGTATACTAATTACTATATTAGTAAATATAGGAGTAAGAGGAAGCATCTTTATTAATATATAAAGAATAAAGGATATAGCTTAATTCTTTAATATCCTCTTATACCCCTTATTAGAACTAGTAGGCATTAAAGGATTCAACAGCTGGCCTAGGACCCTAATCACTTATATTATTATCCTATACCTATAGGTAGATAGATAATAATTTTTAAATAAACTAATACTTATTATTAACTTAAGGCATTATAATATTATTATTAATAAGACCTAGATAGTAAAATAAGATGCCTAATTAGACTATTAAAATAACTAGCTTATATAGCCAAAATAGAGCCTAACACTAAATAAAGAACTTTAGGAAAAATAGTCTATAATATTATCTAAGATAATATTATAGTAAAAGAGTAAATTAATAATAAAAAAGGAATTCTAAGAGGATATGGTTTATTATAATAAGAAGCTAATAATAAAGATAAGAGTAGAATAATATTAATAAAGAAATTAGACTTATTACTAACTATCTTAAATAGAGGCTATCCACTATTATAGTAACCTGGCTAAAATAAAGTAGGAGTTAAAGAAAAGCATTATTAATAAAGGGGATTAAGTCCTAGAAAGAAAGGACTCTTTAAGATATAATAACCTAGTAATAATTAATATTACTATTATTAGGGCACCGGCGTTCTATTAGTATATAAAGAAGGAGGATTTAAAGATCTTTATTACTAGCCTAATAAAGATTAAGTAAATTATTAAGGAAAAATAATAGGATTAATAGAACTCCTAGACCTAAAGAGTAGTACTTACTAATATAAAATAATTAAATAAGAACCTATCCTAACTTATTCTAAAGGAGTATTATAATTTCTTAAATATCTTTTCTAAAAAGAAGTTAGATAACCTGCTACCCTATTAGAAAGGATATAATTATAAGATCTAATTAAAATCTAATATATCTATAGAGGAGGCTATTAGATATAGTCCCTTATATAAGTAATCCCTTAAGGAAT